TTTGAAGCGAAACTACTAAGTGTATCTTTTTGGAAATTTGGCTATAAGCCTAATTTTTGATTCTCTACAACTTTTCTATTGACACCAAAATGGGTTTCTTTTGAAGAAAGTGCTCAAACTGAGACATCTCTAGTCCTCCATTTTTGATTCTCACGCTTGTCTCACACACAAACCAAAATCCTACTAAGAAAGAGGAATCCGCAAATTGCCTGTAAAATGGGCAGAAGTCGTCAATAATAATGGAAATTATTTCGAATCAATTCATGGTTTTATGTTGAATAAATTTTAGTTCAAAGTCCGGCAGTTTTCAATTCACCAACCCAATATATGTTGCGTCCGTTTACGAACTAACGTTCAGATCGGAGTGGATGCAGACATCCGTTTACGTATTAAACTCTTAAGTTCGTAAACGGACTTACGAATTCGATCTGGACGTCCGGATCGGACGGATGTCGTAAACGGGCGTCCGAATCGGATTCGAACGTCCGTTTACGAACTAAACTTAAAGGCTAATTTGATGTTAATGGAACTTCAGACATAGGGCAAATCGCAGATATACAAACACAGTTTTGCATGTTTTTCAAAACTATTCACGTTTTACAAATTGTGAAGAAAACGGATACAATAATATTAATTTCATGCTCTGGGCACATGGCTCTTAAAGATAGTGTTTTAATTGCGCATTTCAGGTTGTTCATTTTTGCTCAATTGCTAATTACCCTTGATCTTTAATTTTTTGCTTAATTTCTTTTAAATAAATTGTCAATCATTAAGTAGCATTAGAAAATAACATTATTCAAATTTCTAATAATTAAAAAGGTTTCTTAATGTTTTTCAAAAAAAGCAAAAAGTTTGACCGCTCTCGGATCCGAACCAAGATCAAAAAGTTCCGAGCGCAGGCACACTAACCACTAGGCTACGAGCCGACTTTTGGGAGGGCGAAAGGAAAGCCTTTCCGCCGGCAAAAATCAGTGTGCCAGAAATTCGAGAAAAGCCTTCATTTTTTCGAAATTCAAATGGCTGTAACTTTGTGCGTTTCACCGATTAGCGGTTTTTGAAAACAGTTTCTGAACGTACATTTTCAGGCCTTTCTTTTTGCACCTACCTCATATTGTAACTCGCGGGTAACTTGGGAAGGTTCCCCTGGTTAGCCTAGAATTTCAACCTTACCGTCGATTTGGCCTAACACTCTGACTTTGACTTTCGATAAAATTGAATCTTTGAATCCTGTCTTGTTTTTAAAAACATTTCCAGGCAACCGGCTCTTTTCTCGTCGTTTCCACACTCTCTTCACTACTCAACATTTACTTCTTAAAGCTACAAAGTCTTCTAGAGCCGACCAGTTTCTTTAAGCGAGCAACACGACACTTTCAACCCATTTTCTTCATAGATTCAATCGATTGGGCAAAGTTTTATTTATGAGTCCACTCTTCATTTTCTATCCTTTATTAATTGCGGGAAGTGTAGCAATGATGCCAATTCAAAAAGGGACAAACACTGACAATTTGCGAGAGCTTTTACAGGTATACAGAATTGTGCCAGCCTGGTTTAACAGAGTCTGACTCATCAAAGCCTGACCGAAATTGAAAAAGTCTTGGGCTTGACAGATTTCTGCCTTTTATTTTGACTTGATTCAATGGCAGAACAAGGCTAAAATTACAGTTGTTAAAACAAAACAGCTTTTTGAGTTAGGTACTTGGCATTAACGGTGCCCTGTCTTAAAGTCCAATCTGCCTTACTGTAATGAAAAGTAGTGAGGATTTCACAGCATCTTTTGTCAGGTCTTGATGTTAATTGGATAAAGGTTTATGAGACGTTGAATTATTTGGAAAAAAATTCAGATTCCTACAGATATTTGATAAAAGTTGACCATTTCGCCCAATCCCTCTCCATTTCCAGACTCATCTCTTCTTTTCGTATCTCTCCAATTACTCGGATATCTATGTTGGCCGTATTGTTCCCATTTACCCACCATTCATTCAACTTTCCGCAATTCATGTATTCTGTGTCGGTGTGCTAATTTATGCCATACATGCCATAAGTTATGTAAGTTTGCTAAACAATTTCAACTTTCAGTTTTAACTTTCAGACATGGATTTTCATCGGCTGGTGCCAATACGTTATCACGAATTGTTGTCCAAATATGAGCGCGAAAACGAGGAAAATGCAGAGGAAACTCCTGGCCGCGATGTCTTTAGAGGTAAAGTAGAATAAAGATTTCAAAAGTTACTGTACTTTTTCAAATGCACTCACTAAAAATAAGAGATTCCATCACAACGGTAATCTCGGGTTCTACAAGTCTCGGAGTAATCCAGCTGCCTTGCAAGACTCTAAAGTTTAGCTTGTCTTATTTACAGCTCAATATTATCGTCAAGTACTTTAAAAAATAAAACTCGTTTTGTTTGGTTTCAAATTCTCGTTTAAAATGAGTTCTAGATTTAGACGACCATATCAACGCTATCACTCGGGGTTCCGTGGATCTACTATGCGATTATTATCTTTATTCAAGCAAATACAATCTACCAATGTTGGTTTTTGTTTTTAAATCCTGTCCGCATTTGATTTCTCCTTTTAGCCGTCAACAATTTCTTCTTCGGTCTCCTCTGTTCTCATGGTGCATTGGGATCGATCTTTTGGCTGATTTTGATTGAACCATTTCGACGATTCACAATCACAGCCATTCTCAAAACTCCAGCACTCAATTATTTCGGAAAATTTTTGTTCACCACCCAAGCAAAACAACTGAACATCATTCATGTCTCAAATTTTAATTCGGATTAGGGAAAGGTCAACTTTCGGTTTATTTTTCTGGATAATTCACTATTCTTATAGATAATTTCGATATTATTGGCTTATTTGATTTCCAGTTTAGACTAGCTTTTTACTATCCTTATCTGGCATAAACCGAACAGTTCCCATCAGCTTACATTGCCAAAATCTCTAGTCATTCTCCAGTGTACTGTACTCACGACATTTGTAGGTGTACTACAAATGTCGTTGTACGTCGTACTACAAAGGTTGCCAAATCCTTCTGGCACGGTTTTGCAATAAAGATTTTGAGCCAAGTTATGATCGAATCAAGCTCTAATAAATCCTTTCAATAAAATGTTTATTTCACATACATAGTTATTATAATACAAAAGTGACTTTCTTCAAAGCTTTGCAAAAAATGAGTGACTAAGAGAATGGATGCAACATCCCAATGAATTTTTGACTAGCTGAGTTTTCAACTGATAACGAGCCATCTCGAGGTCTTTATCACAACGTTAACTGTTTATTTAGACAACTTAGCTTATTGTTATGTCAGAAAATGGACAGTTAAATAGATAGTTTTCATTCATTTTTGTCATTCACCAAAATAATTTGTACTACCGCAAACTTTTATCCAAATTGTGAATCCAACAAAATGCAGAAAAACTATGAAGAGCGTTTTACCGACAAAGGAAGTTATGGGACTGTTTATGAATTGGTTGGACACAATCCGTGAGTTGAAAATGTTTTGGTAATTGCTCAATTTTTGTTTTTAGCCCGGCTGTGATTAAATATATCGAATGCAAAAGTCGATCGATTGTAGAATAAAATCAATTCCAGCAATAAACCAGTAAAAAAAATGGTTGCTATGGGTTAATTACTCAAAAAAGACCCATTGAACAAAGAAAAATCGATGCAATGACTAAAACGAATTCGACTAAAGAGAGAAAGGCGTGAAAACAGCTGTCTAGTTGGTGAGTTGATTGACTTTTGATTACTTTTGATTACTTTTGACAAATAAGAACTGAAAAAAGGCCGAGTATGAGGGGGAAAGATAAAACATCAAACAACTCAGTCAAAATAAACACTTTCATGTATTTTTGTACAGGAAAAACAGGCACTTGAAAGTTATTACGTCAACAAGAGGTATTGCATGCTTTTGCAAAGGATTTTCTCTCGTTTGTGGGTCTTGTGCTGGGCTGGACGGTTCTCGAAGAATTTTTAGAAAATCCTAAGAGATTTAGGAGACAAGACTCTTAAATTAACGGCAAAAATTTGGGTATAGTGACGCCCAAGTGAGCAAAGACGGCTCAGTCAATTAGGATGACCTACTAAATGGCCTTCGAAACCCGTTTGAGCACCAAATATATTCCAAATCGGAAAATCGGAGAAATGTTTGCTTTTAAAAGCCTTGTTTGAACTGTGCTCTGTCAGAAATGAAAATTGACATGCATTTGTATTAAAAATCAAAACATTTTACTCAAGTCAACTTACAAAATCTGTTCGCGGTATCAAAATGATGGACGCATCGACTTCAGACCTTTCATTTGTTTCAGGATTCGTTCGATCCTCGAAACAAACAATCCACAGAATCTCTTTGTCATTTCTCTTTTGTAGAAAACATTTGAGAAATGTTCTTTCAATTGTCTGATAAAGTTTAATACTCCATTTTGGATCAGAGATCGCCAAAGATAGGAAATTCTTGGAATAACACGTTTTTGAAGTCATAGAATGCAGCTTTCTCCAATTCTCTTCTTCTCTTCGAGTCACTAGTTCAACGGGGTAAATTTCCATATCCAAGTTGTCCATAAGCATTCCTGTAACAATTTCAAAAGCTCTTTTTGTGGCTATTTCAAGTCTTGTTTCCCAATAGAGTCTCATTTGTGCAGTTGTTTGAGGATTATTCGATGGAATTCCTTCTGACAACAAATATTTATAGATTGCAAGTAGTTGTCCCCATCTGTGTCCGATGAATTCTAAATGATCAGCACTCGTTCTCGTCGCTATTCCCCATTTCTCCATGTCGTCGTTTCCTAGCCGCAAATGATGGCAATTCTGAAAATTTCAATGTAAAAGTTTGTAAATAGCCTTTTCAATGCTGTCTGTTGAATTCCGATAAAAGACTTACTATAAAATCCCACTGGTCTAGTACAGTTCCCTAGCAAAATTGTAGCTTTTTCTTGCCGTTATTGTATTTCTTCTTCTATTTTACGAAGTTTTTAAATTAGATATAGGTGAAACAGGTAGAAATGGCTTGGATGCCGCTTTGCAAGCGCTCGAGGAGCTTTTTTGCAAGACGCGCTTTGCAAGCGCTCAAGGAGCTTTTTTGCAAGCGCGTAACAAAGATCACGGCTAAACTGAAGCAACAAGTGAAGCTCCCGACACTAATCAAGGCTCTCGCCGTTCAATTCGAGTTCAACAACAACAACAACAACAACAACAGTTCAACAACAACATCGCCGTCATGATCGAAGAGGGAACCGACACGAAGCTGGCCGAAGCACTGAAGCTGATCAAGGAGAAGAACACGCTGCTCATAGCTGCCGAAACCAACCCGAAAGCGTTTGAGATAGCCGAGGCGGCAGTCAGCATGAAGATTTTCGTGCAAAACGGCCTTGAAGCCCCATCCTTGGGAAGGCTGCTGATCGCCACAAACTGAAAGAAAAGTCGCCGATCAATTGAATGTATGGTCAACATCCACAGGCCTTTCGCCACCGAGGCGGAGCCGACGCTTTATCTCTATTTGTCTCAGATCCTTCAAATGCTGACGTCATGCGAGCAAATGAAGATCTCAAAGCCGGCTCCTCACATCAATAATATGGATATGGTGCTCCGAGAACTTTCAATGGTGCAAAACGCCTCCAATGCTTTAGCTGCTTTCAGTTGCCCAAATACATGCTACCAATGTCAACAACAAGGCCCGATTTGGATTAACCAGTTGATTAGATCAGACTTGGGTCTGGCTTATGATCATTTGCACAGGCTTGGCCAATATCCTAGGCCTGATGGCTTGACCCTAATCTGGACAAAGACGTCAAACAGAAATGGTTTTATTATCTGATTTTAGTAGAAAGCTGACTAATAGGGCTTTCGAAACAAATGTGTTTCAAATTTTTTACGAACAAACCTGAAAAGCACTTCTCCGAAACAAATTTCCATAAAAATCCACAAGTGTTTCCAAGGAATCTCGATGATCGATAAGAACTTCGATTTGTTCTGCAGAGTTTGGATCAAAGTTGCGAAAGAGGATTCTCATAAATTTCAAGCACCCAGAAACATGAAATGTTTGTAGGTTTTTAAGGTTTGAAAATATTTTCCACCTTTTCAATGTAATCATGCCATTTCCCCAGCTCCAAACCGAAATCCTGAGGTTTTCACAGAAATGAATCTTGGCCATTTGGTGGATGATTTGTTCAGAATTGCGATCTTCCAATAATTCCCAAACTTTTACCGAAGTGAGGTCATTTTCGAAGTTTTTTGGAATACAGACACACTTTAGTAAACCATTTTCTTCCCAGAAATTGACCTCTTTAAGATATTTTGTGAAGATTCCTCTTTCTAGAGCCAAATTTTGCAGAATTATATTTACTTTCAAGCACCGGAGAACTTCTTGATCATTTAAAAAATCGAAAATGGATGATTGTAAATAAAGAGATAGTTTTGGAAAAGGAAATGAAAGCATTTAAGAGAATTGGAATTGAGAAAATAGAAAAATTTCTTCTTTTGCTGCCGCTTTTTCACTTTCCTTGTGAAATATTTAGCACCTTCAGAAAAGAACAAAGGATTTGTGGCCTAAAAAAGCTTACAAATCATTCTGGTTCTGAAAGCTTGTTTACTTTTTAATCCGAAAGTTCCAGTAGATGTTATTGATTTCTTGCGTCACTGCATTGCCTAAAATTGAACAAGTGTTCATACGGGCAATTTTGTGATTGAGAGTCAGTTCATGTGGGATCCATTTTCCGCATCTGTTTTGCTTTTCAATCAAATGTAAATGCTGTGTCAAATGTAAATGCAAATGGTGCTATGTTGAACATTGAACATTTCCGACAACTCTCGAGTGATGCAAGTGGGATCTTCTTCGATAATCTGCAAAAGTTGAGACTCATCCAGCTTTCGAGGACGTCCTTCGTGATGCTCATCTTCTAGGCTCTCGTTTCCACTTTGAAATCGCTCAAACCATCGATAACATTGGCTTTCGCTAATACTACCTTCGCCATAGGCCTTTGAAAAAAACTATGCGATTCTCGGGCAAATTTTCCAAGCTTAAAGTCATAGAGTAAAGCAGTTCGAATAAGGAATTTTTGTTCCGTCATTTTTTGATAACAAATGAACAAATGTTTTCGAATAATATTATGATTGTGTAAGCAAAAACACTCTGCTTCTCTGTTACTATCGCGGTTTTCTCTGTTTGACTGCCATTACTTTCTCAAGAGCACAAGTTAAAGATTCACATTATTTTCCCGCTAACCTAATATATTATCAAATCTTCAGCAAGTAAAGAGTTCAAATTAGACTTAGTTAGACAGAAAATAAGCTATGAATCGGAGCTAGTGATGTGTTAATCCATAAGTATCAGAAATTCTCCTTGCCAAGCTTTCCCACGAGCAGCAAAGTAGGTGAATTTGTAGTAAGGCATTAGAAAGATAATGTTATTCAGTAGAAATGAAGATCGACTCGTTTGGTTCTGCTTTTCATCCAAAGAAAAACAATTTGTTTGAAGAAAGAGTGCAGAAGAGAAATGTGCAAAAGTCAGTTTTCGCATGCAAAAATAAGCCAATGCACAGCAATTGATTTTCGTTTTTCGACAACATTCCATAAATTCAAACTTTTACTTACAAAAAAAAGACGTGAAAACCAATAAAATCCATCTCTTTTCAAAATTTATGCAATTGTTGATGCTTTTCCATGAAGCGAACGTCATGTTGACCCACACACGAAAAAAAGAGTTCACATGATCGGCTCAACATACCTATAAAATGCTGATCGGATCAGCTTGTGGCTCAAAAATTCGTTCAAATACACACTATGATATCATTTTTTCATTCTACTCTAATATTTTTCTCAATAGTTCAAATTTGTCTATGCGCGTGTCCAGCTGGATCGAAGGGTTTAATTGGACGACCTTATTGCGTGCAACTTATCGCAAAGAGTATGTAAAAGTAGGATTTATAAGCCAAAGCGAGGTTGTTAGAGGAATTCAAATTGAGGGTCGATTCTCACTAAAACCAAATTATTGGCAGGTTGGTGTAGCAATATAAATTTTTTTTTGATGAGTTTTTATGTAGGAATGACTAAAGTAAATCAGTTTATTTATTTTATTGAGTCTACCAATTAGAACTGGTTAAATGGTTAAACAAGCAAAAATATAGCCAAGTTTAAGGTGGGAATTCGTGCCAGAGCTTTAACGTCCAAAAAAAAAGAGAAAAAGCTCAGTCGTGGTACGCTTTTTTTCCTTTATGGATTCCAAAAGAGAAGCACTCTATAGCAGGGCGGTTTGCCAGATGGAGAGCGATTAACCCGCACAAAGAACACCAGTCGCCAGTCATTTACATCGGGATTTCTCTTTTGCTTTGTAGATGGCATAAAGATATTGAGTGAGTTGTCAATTTGGACTCGAGGGTTTTACGGGATCGGGGAATCGATTGGAGCTATTCATTTCTACATAAAGCTTCATCAAAAATTTTATTACTACGCCTATTACTACAATAAAATATACAAAAAATAAAATAAATAAACCGATTTACTTTAGTCATTCCTACATAAAGCCTCATCAAAAAAAATTATCTTACCGATAATTTAGTTTTAGTGCTAATTCGGTCTCTTCCTTTAAAAAGAATTTGAGCTTTTTTTGAAATATGAAAAAAGTTGTTCTAACTTTATTAGATTAAGAATTTGAATAGAAAGTTTGCTTCCAACTTACTTCTACTCATTTCACTCTTTAGACCAAACATTTACCGCTGCGAAAGCCACTTGTGCTTCTTTGAATGGAAAACTTTTGATGTTGGCGAATGAAAATGATGCGACAAGGGTCAGGAATCTTTTTCGAGGTGATTTTGAAAAAGATCGGAGCACTATATCCATTCTCTTCTACTTTCCAGGCTCTGGAGTAAAATTGGCTTGGCTTGGAATCGTTGCTAAACCGAATGGACATCAGATTTTCTTGAATGGACTTGATGCAACAGCAGCTCACTTTGGTAACCAAGAACAGGAATTTTTCAGAACTAAAGGCCGGATCTGACCTTGCGCACGGAAAATATTTGGACTAACCAGAAGGCGGAAATGGAGCGGGCTTTGGCCTGGTTTTTGGAACATCCCTGACCAGGGACACTAAAACTTGACCCGATTTTCATTTCCAGCTCCCGATTTCATGGTCGGAAATGGAAATCTGCCGACAAACTATGAGAATGCGATCAACAACTGCACGAAAAAGATAAATGTCATTAATTGCGCGTGGGTTTTGTTAAATTTCAAGTCAAGTCTAGAGTCAAGACAAAAACAAAAAACAAGTTTCAGCACGTGGTTATCGAGAGCGAAATGTTGGATCAATCCAATCAAGGCTTTGCCCACGGCAATAGCCGATTACAAAGAGTATCAACAGTTCATTCGATATCAAGTACGGAGAAAATAGATAAAAAAAAAGGAGATTGACCTTTTAGGCTTATTCCAATCCGGATATCGCTTTTGATCCAATTTGCTTCAAAAATGTGAAGGCCACATTCTTTCCCGATCCTCAGCCAGTTTGTGAGTTGATTGAACCACTTACTTACAACTAAAAAGCGCACACTACCGTAATCTTGTCTTCAAAGCTACCGTAAGCTTGTCTTGGTTTTTATCCAATCTATTCACTTTAATCTATTTCTGTGTGAGTTCTAAAAGAATTAAAAAATAGATAGATTGGGCGAGATTGGCGAGGATTACGGTACCTTTCGCAAGACTCAGGGTAGAATTACGCTAGCTTTTTGTAAAACTAATTGTGAGAACATGGTTAAGATAGGTTCCAAAAGTTGACACGTTTTAGAAAAAACATTCATAAAAAACTGACTCAACTGAAGATTCATTTTTTTTTTTATTTTTCAGTTGATCTCCAGCATCCATACATGAGCAATGTGATGAATATGATCTTCGGATCAGACACGGGATTTCCTGACATGTGGCTAGCTGTTCCCAGTAAACAAGTCGGTGTGCTCTGCCAACGGCCACTCGTTTGAGTTGGAGTTGGAGTTGAATAATGAATTCTTTTAGTTTGTGTGCATAAATGTTATTTTGAAACAATTTTATTAGAGGCAAATAAGCAAAAACCCATTGTCAACGTGAAAATTGAATGAAATTGACACTTTTTCTTAGAGATAAAGTATTCAGCTGGAAAATTGACAGAAACGCACAAAATAGATTCTGTACGCTTTTTCTCATAGAATAATAGCGGAATTTAGGGTACGATTCTCAAAGACTTTGATAGATTGGTGCA